ATTGAATTAGGAAATTCTTAGTAATTGGAAATTAATCTTTATAGGATGATATTTCGAGAACTTAATTTAAGAACCTTTTATTACTTCTCGATGGGTACACTTATCCTCCGAACAAAGTACAATAATTTACAAACTATTGTTCACAAAATACAAGACTTAGGATAATAATTACATAACCCAAAACTAAGTCCCAGGGCAATCATGATCCATATCCAAAATACTGATGACCCAGTGCTAGTCGTCACCATATCATCCCTCTATTTTTGAAAAATCTTTAGAATCAAGATCCTCGTCTGATTCGAGATAAAGGTTTCCAGAATTAGCCATGACTTCAACACCTGGAACCCACTCAAAAGTTACACCGGTAGGCCTTCCAAGATTATCATGGTCATGATAGGTACACAAGTATATCACTGCTATCGGAGTCCTAACCGTACCTCTATAAATATAAATACATAGGGTGTGGTGGATCCTATTATTTACAGGAAAATCTAAGGGAATACTATAATATAATTTCATCTCCAAAATATAATTATGGTAAGGTATATTATCACAATCTATAACCAGTTTAAAGTAGCAAATTTTCTTATATTCATTAAATACATAATTTAACCTACACTGCACCTCAAGGTGTCACCATCCTTGTTTCCTAAAAAGTTTCAGTAAGGATGAGCATCTATCTTATCATAAAACATACATTCACATCAAAAGTTAAATTACAGCATATTTATAAGCATAAGATATAAGAACACTTAATAAGTTCAACCATAAACAGTATAACAACAATCTTCACAAAGTCACAATATATAATTTACCATAAATCCTCAAATCTCTCTTAAATATGCACTCATAGTGCACTGTGATCACAAAAATACGATGTCTCTAGCATTTCTTGAGGTTTTACTCAACTAAATAAATAGTCGTCAGTTAGTCCATGCATATGAATACAACGTATACAATAATAGGCCCCTTAGCAAAGGTATAGTTAGGAGTCTAGTCAAGAAATGAGTGTGAGGCCATGTGGCGCATTCACTCTCATAAAGAGTGTGTACACATATGCAAATGTTGCTCACCACTTTATATTTTTCCACTACTAGAAAAGCGCTGATTACAAAGGATATTACAGACGGATTTTTATACGTTTGTATTACAGACGGATTTGTAGTGTTTTTTTTTTATTATTTTCTGACAAATCTGTCTGTAATACAGACGGATAAAAATTTGTTTGTAATATCCGTCTGTAGTTTACCCGCCATTTGGCGCAAAACAATATAGGCAGGAATTACAGACGGATTTTTCTGTCTGTAATTTGAAAAAGGGAGGGAAATTTAGAGCGGGAGTTGCAGACGGAAAAATCTATCTGTAAATATTGTCCTTTTTAACCGACTTTTCATGTGGCAATTTACAGATGGATTTTTTCGTCTGTAAATCGACTTGACGAATTTACAGACAGAAATATCTGTCTGTAACGGGATTTTTAAAATGCACTGTTTCATTAAACTATTTACAGATGAATTTTTCCGTCTATAATATCTGAAACCTATAAATTCGCGCCTCCCCCTTCCCATTCCTCATTTTTCATAAATCTCTCTCTCTCTCTCCTCTCTCTGTCTCTCTCTCAAGGAGCTTCAATTTTTTTGCCTTTGCGAGTAATTGGAGCATCCATTTGAAAGATAATTTACATCATTGTGTTCCTGGTACGATACTCTAACTTTTAATCGGTTTAGTTTTTTTATGTTTGATGTATTTTAGAGACTTAAAATTTCTAAGATAGAGTTGTAGGATTGGAGATTGTATGACTGGGGGGAAGGGTGTAGAGGTCCTTCTCTGAACCTGATTATTGTGTGCTGTTGGATTATTTGTGTTTGCAGAGTTTGTGGAATATAAATGTTGTGGAGTTATAAGGGGATGTGCTCTAGAACGGTTTAGGATTGTAATGTGTATGTTTTTGATGCATTGATTAATAGATTATTACATAATATATAGATTATGTGTAAAGAAAATTTAGATTTTTGTATTGAGTACGTGTAAACAAATATAGGAAAATATTCATATATTAGGAGAGATTCTACCAAAATTTACATTAGAAATTTGTTTTATTAAGTGTAAACAAATATAAGAAAATATTCATATATTAGGGGAGATTCTGCCAAAATTTACATTAGATATATGTTTTATTAAGTGTAAATAAATATAATAAAATATTCATATATTAGGGGGAGATTATGTCGAAATTCACATTAGAAATTTGTGTAATGTAAAATAAAAGGTTGATACTTTTTCAGCTCCAACACCACCAATCTTCAGCTCTATGCGTCATTCCTCCTCTGACTCCTCCTCAACTGATGGCGATACTTTTTCAGAAGATAATCACGCCGATTATTAGTGATCTACAATGTTATTTTATTTTTCATATTATTTTTCTAGATGTTTACTTCTTTCTTTGTAATGAAATTTTAATTTTACATTTTATAAATAACTTTCAATTTTAAATATATAGTTTTGTAGTTTTTATTATGTTTATAAATTATGATAATTAGGAACAGCGAGAAATAATTATGTTTATAAAAAAAATGAAACAATTTTTTTGAAATTTCATAAATAAATGTAATACAGACGAATTTTTCTGTCTGTAATACAGATGGATTTTTCTCTCTGTAAATTACAGATAGATTTAAAAATTCATCTATAATTATTTATCGACGCACATATTATAGACGGACTGTAGCAGTCAGTAAATCCGTCTGTAATGCTAAAATCTGTCTATAATAGTAAAAAAATCTGTCTGTAAATCTGTCTATATTTTTTAGTTTTCTAGTAGAGTTCCCAAATTTCTTATTGTCTCCGAACTTTATATCCCCGATGTATCTCTATAGCTATTCACACTAGATCCATTCAGTACTTTATGCTCATCTCATACTCTTTTTCATGTCAAACTCATTACTCAGGTAAGAGATCGTGCTTAATAAAACACTTTCGGAATAAGTCCAAAATGCTTATACTACCAAAATATAGCACTAACACCCAAAATTAGTCAAACATACTTCATTAACCTTTCACAATAATCCAATATCATTCAATCATAAGATTCATACTTGCTCAAAACATTTTTGAACTAAGTCCTTATCATATACCATAAACATACAACACAATCATCCTAAATCAACCAAATATACATCATTATAACTTTTCATAATACCTATATATCATTCAATCATGTATTTATATACAAGAAAACAATAAAAGTACTCTCATGAGCACAAAATATTTATTATGCTTAAAATAACAAAATAGAGCAATTCTTACCTCGAAGTGAAGTTTTGAAAGAAGGGTTATAAGGGGTGTGAAAACCAATTTTTGCCTCCCAGGAATTGCCTCCAAATTTATATATATATATATATATATATATATATATATAATAAATTACTTTACAAAAAAATAGAAAACTTTGAAAAAAAGGGATTGGTTCCTAGAAATGGAAGTCCTGCACTATGCAAGTTTATACCCAATACCAAAAAGCAATTTTATACATGAGAAGAGAAAACTCGAATTTGGCCTTTTTTTTAAATCCAAGAGAAAAAAAAACAGAGGACGAGTATATATACATAAAAGAGGGATCTGGAAGAGGAGGAGGGGAGCGGCAAAATTTTTAAGAATAAAATTGAGAAAAATCTGAGAAAAGGAAAAAAAAAACAAGCTTTTTTTTCAAAGAAATTTTAGAGGAGATAACCATATTTTTTTTCAAAGAGAGTAATATGATAAAATGAGGTGCAAAATGAGCAAGAAGAACACAAAACATCATAAGCTAGAAGAAAAAAAAAACTAAATCATTTTAGCCACTCCACCATCTTTATTTGTTGCTCAAATCCAAAACATTTGCTAGTTCGTTTCTCAAGTCTAACATATTCGTTAGTTTGTATACTGCTTTCAAAGTATTTTTGTTTCTTTGCATATTAAAACCATATCCTCCCCATAACCATATTTTCAACTTTTGTGGTTTATTGAAAAATAGAAGTTGAAGAATATGAAGCCGAAAGATAAGAAATAGGAAGATTCGATCACTTCTTAGATTTTATTTATTTATTTATTTATTTATTAATAGATTATTATTATTTTCTTGTTAAAGTAAAACAAGGATTTGACAGCATTTAATATGAATGTTGTGCATACAGGAATGGTGGTATGAAAACATGTAATTGGTTATAATTTAAAGAACAATATTCAAATAATTTATAACCAATTACATAATATTACAAATAAGCAAGTTATCAACAAATTAATATATAAATCCTTTTTTGACACATTAAATATTTTATCAGCAAATAATAAATAATATTTAACATGAAAAATCAAATAAAATAATTAAACAAGTAACACTCAAATATATATATATATATATATATATATATATATAATTTATTTTTTAAATAATAAAATTATTTAATATAAAATAAACTTTTGAATTATAGTCTGCCAATAAAAAAAAAAATAACATCAATACAAAGCCTAACTTTGATTATAATTTTTCTCTTCTAACACTTTCACTAGTTACTATCACAAATTTTGTTACATATTTATAAGCTCCAAATTTAGATAAAAGAATGTATTTATATTTTTAACTGGTGGAAGAAATGTTACAAAAAAATCATCCTTATTTAGACGATATTGGAGTTGTCTTTGAGATGGACAACAATAAAATCGGTCCTGACCTAGACAACACAAAAATCATCACAACTTTGGATGACACAAGTTCCCATCCTAACATATGCCAGTGTTGTCTGTCACGTTTCAATGAGTATTTATACTTAAAATTTTTTAATATAAAATAATAAGCATCGTCCATACCACTTGTCATTCGCCATCCAAGTAAAGAAATTATTTTTACGATATCCTATTTAAGTAATTTTTTAAAAAAATAACCCTAATCAAGAAAAAATCCTCTTTTCCCTCGCTCATGTTGGATGAAAATATCATTCATATATGAAAATGAAAAGCCATACTTATTATTAAAAAATAACTAGTAAAAACCTAAGAATATCATACTATAACAATGGCATCACGTAGATGGGGAGACATGTATCCCTCAATCTAAAATCAAGAACTTGTTGAAGAGAGCGTGGAATTTTTCCATTTCCTTGGGAGGAAGAGCCACAATGATACTCACCCCATCACCTCCATCACTAGGAGGAAATAACAAAATAATATCCTTCCTCTGATAAACCACAGGGCAACAATACTTTGGCTTCCCCCAAGGATACTCCACCTCTTCAAACCCTAATCTCCACCATGAAGACACCAAAACCTCCCCATTTGGAAACCCTTTATTTACCTCTCCCCAATCTATGATAGATTTTGCGTACTCATTTGTCATCCTATTTGCACCCTCAGTCACCATTTCAACCAACCTCAAAAATGGCCCTTCTTTTATTTCCTTACACTTAGCCGTGGCATATGCGGTTAACACAGCATTTCCAGCATATGATTTGGGCAATGGAGGGTTCAACCTTGATCTTATGTCCACAGCGTATAGTATAGTTGATGACCTATTTGGGTCATCATCACCAGACAGTGCCTTGCACCTCCATATATGGGCAGTAATAACGTTAAAGCCAGTGACACGTGCCGAGGAGCAACACGTGCCACCGTTAACAGAAGCCTTCGCCTTCGCCTTCTCCTTCAATTTGGTGATGTCATTGGAGCTTAGTTTGAAAACCTTGAAGTCAAGTTGCTCAGATGAGACCTCAAAAATGCAAGATTCTAGCCCTGGGGGGAGGTCACCTATCTTGAGCATCTCGGGGTGTGAGAATCTGACACGTGGAGGGGATTGGGCGGCTAGAAGGTGCCTGTCATGACACGGCGTCACAGCCAAGGGCGTTTTAGCAGCTATTGAGGCAATGTTGTCTAAGAAGGTTTTGAAGCTAATTCCATCAAAGGTAGTGTGGCTTGTTGAGATGCCAATCGCAAAGCCACCACACTTGAAGGATGTCACCTGTGTGAGAAACAACATAAATCAAGAAAATATTTTACGAACAATTAAAAGTTCTTTTTTTAATTTTTAGAAATGATTTTAAAATATGAGTATAAAAAAAAGGATATCAAATGATTATATATAATAGTAATTTAAAATGTTCAAAAAATAAAAATATATAAATTAAGAATATAAAAGCTTCGTAAATAGCATTTTTATATAAAAATTTAATATTTATATATGTTTAAAACTAACCCTGTAGATTGAGTTTAATAAAATCGTAAAACAAGCTTTTTTGAAAACTTAAATCATAAGAAAATGTTAACCTCGATAAAAAAAATTATTAAGAATTTATCTGATTAAAAAATAATGAATATACATATTAAAAATTAGTGCTTGATCATATTATCTCTAACTAATTAGAGGAAAGGAAAAGAATAAAAAAAGAATTGTACAAAACAGTCACTGTATAATTATTATCAGATGGATCGACGGGGCTTTGATTGGTACTGTTCAATCCAATTTTTCGGTTATCTAACTTTATACAAACATTTATATTGTAATTAATGGACGTGATGTCAATATCGGTTAACAATACAAATAAATGAATCAACCGTAGGTTTGTAATATTGAAGAGCAAACCTAAACTCTTTTAATTTAAGATATGTAAATTATACTTTATTTGTATGCAATTTATTGTATAAAATTTTTTGCCATACCAAATAGATATTGCAATATCCATTGCTCTGTTCATTCTAATTATTAATTGGAGTAATGTATGTGATTTTCATATACAACAAGCAAATATCAAAAATTGAAAATATATTTTCATCATAAATATTGTACAACAAAATTTTATCAAAAAAAAAAACCTTGTTACAAATATTTATAAGAACCATGGCTAAATTTACTAAACAGAATACTACATTTAATCATGTGTGTGTGTGGGATATAAGTCCAATAAAATAAAATAAATCATACAAGCTTACCACTCACAGATGGATTCCATGTTATTAATACACAATATTAAAAGTCAAGATTTTAAGAGTTATCTCATTAAATCACAGCCATTCCATAGTTTGGGAATCATATATTTGAAAAAAAAAATCTACTTTACTAGTAATAAAATGACATTTCTGTGATATTAATCACCAAGTTTAAAATATTTATCTTGACTCAAAATCTAATCATTCTTTCACAGAAACTTCAGTAGTTTCAGAATTTTGTGTAGAATAAAAAAGGGGAAAAGGAAAACGAAACTATATATTATATATGTATCAAAAAGAAATGGATATGCATAGTAAGTAAACAACAAGTAGGTAATTAAGTTGAAGTAGCCTAGCTTATTATCGTTGCCAATGAATTATATAGCATCAGTATTTAGATAAATGATTATTTATTTGTTATTTTAATTTATTTAAAAATCCCCTTTTTTATTTTTGTATTTTAAAATAGAATTTAATCAATCGCTCAATTCTTGTATACATTAAATAGCTTTGAATTTTGTAGTTTCAGCTTACCCATAAAAAAAAATGGCTGCTAGATGGATAGATGTATTATTATGATGGGTTTATACAATCAACAAAATTTATATACCCAGTATGATGGGTTTATAGAATCAATAAAATTTATATACACAGTATCTACGTATGTTGTTATTCTTCAATCAAAATTAAAATTTTATTTTAATAATTTAGATAATAAAAGTTGATATTAAAAATTAAAACAACTACATTAAAAGTTAATATACTAGTTATTCAAGGTGAAAGTTCAACTCTCCTTGAAAACAAAAATTTAAAATAGTTATAATATTACAGTTAACTCTTTTTTTTCTCTTTATAGAATAACGACTTTCCCTGAGACTTAACCATTTCATATTAGATTAAATGTTGAGTTTACTTTTATTTATACAAATGTGAAATATGTAAATTTTTAAAGAAAAATAAATAAAATATTTTTATATAATAAAATCATTTAAAAATCTAAGATACGAGTATATAATATCTATCCCATAGATTCCCTGATGGGACTGTAAAGTCAATTTGCATTTTTGAGAAGGAAAAGGACATGCATTTAATTGAAGCCACCTCAATAATTTGACAGCTGTAAACTGAATTCGAAGGATATTGCCACACGCAACACAATACACGAGTACACGACAATATAGAAATAATTAAGCACGTGCACTAGCTTCTAGAACACAGGCTACAGTCTTTTCTTTTAAAATTTTAGTAGTGTATTTTTTAGCCATATATACATAAAAATTTGAAACTAAATAAATATTAAAAAAAGTAATAGTATATGTGTTAAAATAATGAATTATAATGCATAATTTATTATGAGTACCTGGGCGACACAGAGTGGGTCATCAGCCTGTTTAAGAAAATCTTTATTCTTATGAACCAATTGTGCAAAAGATGGATTTGGATAATCCAATTCCCCTATCTGATCCAATCTGTAATCGCTGGAAGCCACCACGAAGCCAGCTCCCTCTGCATTACAATCCATCTCTAATCTGTTGGTGTGAGAGTTTATCTTCAATCTTCCACCCAAGAAGTCATAAACCACAAGGGCATCCTCTAGGGCATCCTTGAACCTTTGGGTCACAACATCAGGAGGAAAATCTTTGTGGGCACCAAAGAAGTGAACCGTTTCTACATCAAAGTTGAGAACCTTGTCTATGTTTGACAAGAACAAGGACTTTCTCTCAATTTCTTTGGATGGAAAAACCATGGAGGATTTGTGAATGGTGACCTTTAGGTCTTGAAGTAGAGGAGGAGTGGCATCATGGCAAGAGGTTCCACTCATGTCTACCCTAAAGTGTAGTGTGTGTGTTTGTTGATGAACTCAATGGCCTTGACCCTTGCATAAGTGTAATGGGTGTGATTTAATTTATAGCAATGGCGTGCACCTCTTTTGCATGTGCCAACATAGTTTAAACTGAAAGTGGTCAAGATTGTGACATGAAAGCATGTAAGAGAAAAAGGGAAAGCATATGATTCAATGTTAACAACCAATGTGAATAGGATTTAAATTCTTGCTATTGCATGCAAACAAAACAAGTAGCTAGCTAGCTTACCAGCCAGTATTTGACAAGAGTGTTATTTTTCATGAGCCGGCAGGGTAGCGGGCCATTTGCTGTGTCATTTAAGAAGTTAGTTGCTCATCAACGGCACAAATAAGATAAGGTAGTTGGTGAGTAGGTTCCAAGGAAAAAATATAGGTTGTGCATATTTAAGGCTAAATTTTTTAGTTGGAGGTCAAATGAGTGGAAATGATGCTTACACACTTGCACTTAATATGTACAGCAAAACTTTTCTTATTTCTGGTTTTGGACTACTTTTAAGAAACACCCTTTTTCATAGACGTCCCAAGATAGAAAATAGTAAGATATATCTATCAAAATCAGATAAAAATATGAAATAGCTAGACTTGTGTTTTATTTTATATTTGATGTATATAAAGATGCAATAAATTATATATATCATATTATTTTATATTAAATTTATTCATAAGTCAAATTTATATCAAAGAAAATGATATAGTTAATTAGTATATAAATGATTATCAGAAACGTTAAAATAAGACAGAAAAAGAAAAAAAAATTCTATTACGTTTTTATCTTATTTATCCAAAGAATCTTAACAACATAATTATGAGAATAATAAATAATTTTTTATTAAAATTAGGGTAAAATCCTAAACGTATATTAAAAATTATGATAAAAAAGCATATTAACACTAAATTATATTGAAAAATTATTAAAAGGCTAAACGTGTATTAGAAGATATTAAAAAGTTATTTATAATCACAATAAAAAAAGTATTAATAACATGAAATTCCATTTTGTGAAAAAAAATATTTTAAATTACTTAAATAATATCTTAATGACATTATTAATTTTCTGTTTTTCCCCAATAAATTGGAAGTAAAAATAATCAGTGGGTACTGTAGAGAATATGGAAACCCATATTAAACGCCGCTCTGATGATCAAAGTATAATATATTACTTAAAAGGATATTAACGTATTCTAGTTTTTTGGGTAACATTATGGTACGAATTCCAGTTTTGGAGAACAACAACGTAGCCAGTTGGACTACAAACTCGTTTAGTTTTCTCTTTCTTTTTTTAAAAAATTTAATGTCATGAGTACCTAAGATATCAAGTTAGATATTTGTTTTGTAAGCCAAATAAATTTTACCAATGAAATTAGGACAAGAGGTACCCGATCGAGACAAAATGAATTTTTGAGCCGCTGAAACAAATAATAAAGGTATTGATTATGTCTAATATGAAAATAGAACTGTGAAAATTGTATTCTCGTTAATTCATCAAATGAGAAAGTATGTGTACATTGTCTCACCGTCATCCATAATAACATAACTAATTTAACTAACTTGGATAACTAAACGTTAAATACAGCCCAAGTTGGTAAGTGAATATTATGCACACATGTTTTGAGATTTTTCTTTGAGTCAATAAAATTTTAATTGTGTTTAATTGATTAATTTTATTTATTTTAATCTACACATTATTAATTGAATTTTATTAGAAAAATCTCTTTAATTTCATTACTTTGACTATTCCGACCCTTAGTTATTAATTCTATAATATCTATTTGATAATTATATAAAATAAGTAATTTGAGATGATGATTTAAACACTTTTCATGTTAACAGTTAGTTTATTTTGTTAAATTCTCTTTAAATTTGGATTATTATGTAATATCTACTTTAGGAAAAGCATACAATTGTTAGTGTTTTGATTCCCTTTTGATCTATTTTGTAACTGGAATCAAATGAGAGACATCATTCAAAGTTGAAGAAGATTAGAAAAAGTCATAAAAAAGAGCATATAAAGCATGAAGTTACAGAAAAAGTTAGTTTCTGGAGATTTTTTGCTGTAGCAAGATACCCTCGCTGCTGCGAGAATACTTAATTATAAAGAAAGTGATTATGTGCTCATCTCGCTATAGCGAGAATGTGTCGCTGTAGCAAGAGTCCTTTGTGTCGCTATAGCGAGAATCATCGCTGCAGCGAGAGACAAATTGAATGACCTAATTTCTATCTCCATGTCTCGCTACAGATTTCAAGTTATTGATTGCTTTTAAATCTTGATTTTAATGCTGGATAATTTGTTAACTATTTGAGGAATCAATATTTGAGAAATTATCTTAGAAATATATTTTCAAGGAATTGAAATATATGATTTTTGTATTTTGCATCAATCACAGCTTCTTAAACTTGAATTTTACTATATTTTACAGTATCATTTTACATTTTAATTGTTATTCAACATTTCATGAAAATCATCTATCAATTCTATTGTATATAAGCTCAATTAATTTGTATCTTAATAATTAATATATTTGAATTGCTCTCTAAGGACGATACTCCGGTACTCTACCGATTATTACTTGCAACAAACCCAGTACACTTGCCGTGTTTGAAGTAAAAGTCCCAACACTATTCTTAAGGTCAAACTTTTGAGGAGATTTCTATTTCAATAAATAGTTGATTCATGGAGCTTTAATTTGATATATCATTTGTGAATTTTGGATTTCAAGGTTGGAAGTTATAAGTATTAAGTTGATGTTGAATTGTTATCAGAAAGTGATCACTTCCAATGTCCAAAGTAAGTGTTCTAGAGGGCATTCCCCAAAGACCAGTTGTGCATAATCACTCCCAACGTTCATAGTAAGTGTTCCAGAACCATTTCCAGAAAGAAGGCTGCGTGTAAACACTTCCACCATTCATAGTGATAACATACAGGCTTATTTTGCTAATGAGACTGCGCATAATCACTCCTAGCGTCCATAGTGATAACACGTACTACGCGTAGCTACTTTCATCATTCATAATGAACACCCCAGTCATCAAGCACTACAATAAAACTTATGCATTTTCACTTCCACTATTCATAGCGACAACGCAAGGAAAACATTAATTTTACTATAAATAGATCCCCAATTAGAATAAAGAGACATTTTTTTCCATTTCTTGTACTTTTTTATTTCTAACTTTTATATGATTAGGGTAAGAGTTTTGGGACGGCTCCCAAGAACTCAATTTTAGGGTTTTCATTTCTTTTCCTTTTTTCACTCTATTTTTCTAGTTTTCTAAACATTAGTTGTTTGTAATGTTGGATTCCATCTTTATGGAAGGCTAAAGTTTGAGGATTAATTCCTAGTATTGTTCACAATGGTTCTTGAAGTTTAGGTTTGATTGTTAATACGAATTTTCTCTTGCACAGATTTTATTTTCTCTAATCTCTTGAAGCTGAGTTAGGATTTGAACAAGAGTTGTTTGATTAATTCAATCCAAATTCTTTTCTTAACAAGGGATTCATAGTTTAGTTTGTTTAATTTTGAATTAGGTTCATGGTTTGCTTAATTTGAAGGACCACATATTAGAGTTCATGTAATTTTCTTAATCTTGCATGAGAATCCAAGATTTAATTGACACTTGTTCTAATTAATTCAAGTCTGTGAGGAAATTAATATTTAATTCTTGGTTAACTAATGATTGAACCAACTGTGGATGAACTATGAATTAATCTAATTGTTCATTGATTTATTAATTTTGAATTTCTATCTTGAATGATTAAGGACTTTAAAACCACAACAAAAATCTCCATGTGTTCTAAATATAACGCATATTGTAACATCTAGTATTTTTAAGTATTAATTAAAGAATTATTTTATATTAAGTGTGATTGGAATAGATTTTGATGATGTTTGAAATTATTTAAAAAAAATAAACAGTAAAGTCAATGTGAACAGTAAATCTGACATGAACAGTCAGACAGTGTGAACAATAAAGTCAACATGAACAATACAATTTTTTTTTTGAAATTTTGCCTATAAATAAAGGACTTCCATGAAATTTTCATTCTTTATACTTCTCAAAGGTTCTAGAAAGACGCAAGGCCACATATACTACTATTTTCTCTCATACTAAAACTTAGATTTATCTTCAGATCTGGGATTATATATTCATTTTAAGCGATTCAAAGTAAGTTTCTCTAAGTTTGAATCTAGATTTACAATTTATTTCTCTTCATCTCAAATTTCTTATAGGTATCTTATGGTTTTTAGGATAAACTTCAATTTTAGAGCAAAATCTTTGATTAAATCTTTGAGAAATATTCCTTATCTTAAGATAAGGGGGACTCTACTTTACATTTTGTTATGTATATTACTTGTGTTCTTATAGATCTGGTTATATATATGATTATATGTGGAATAATCTTTGTTTTGTGAAGAATAATTTGTGAATAGTGAGAATAATTGGTAGTTTATTGATTTTATGATGAATATGTGAAGATATATGGTGAAAATATGGTATTATGTTCAAATAGTGCATGATAAGGTATATTAAGGATGATTGATATGATTTTGTGATTTTGTGATATGAAATATTCAAAGAGATGGATGCTTCATGTTTGAATATATTTTGGTTCATGTAAAAAAATGATGTGTATTATAAATATGTCATGGTTTGATGTATATGATGAAAAATATGTGGAAATGTAATGAAAAATATGTGTGAACATAAGAAATGGCATATGTGAATATGTGAATATACTCAAAAAGAGTATGAGATGGAAATTAGTATGATGTAAATAGTTACGGAGATACACTAGAGGGTGGAAGATGGAGACGATATGAGATATCTTAGAGAAATGCAGGGTGGTGAGTGACATTTGAGGTTGTGCACATAATATTGTGTACGAATGCACCACATGGCTGCATACTCGTTTCCCGACTTGACTTTTGATAATTACTTTTGCTAAGAGACTGTCTATTACATGCATTGTATCCGTATTACATTGGACCATCTGACGACTATTTACATGGATGTGTAAGACCTCAGG